AGCACCAGGAGCCGCCACCGCCACCGCCGCCCGCGGGGCCGCGGCCCGAGCCGCACGGTGAGTCCAGGCCTCCTGGCCCTCGCCCACGCTGGCACATGGCTCCGGGCCGGCCTCCACTGAGAGCCGCACCTGGCCCATCCTCTGCTGGCGGGGTCCACTCCCCGAGGCCTCCATCGTCCTCCCTGCCATCAGCACCCCAGGACCACCAGTACCTGCCCAGCCTCTAATGTGCCCTCTAGCAGCAAAAAGGACTTCTGCTTGGGGCTTCCTTCCTACTATCCCCCCAGTTCGAATCTCAGTTTAGTCCCCACTGCCAACATCTAGGTTAAAGCCCTTTGTTGAAGTACAGGGTCTGAAAAGAACACAGGAGAGTCTCCACTGCTCTAGCAAGAAGTGGAGCAGTCACTCTGTAAGGCTGGGAGGAACGAAGTCACAACCAGGAAAACGTAGGATATTATACAAACAGGGCAAGTGACTAAGAGACCTTGAGTGGAATTTTATCCTTGAAGAGACTTGCTGTCTGTCACCTGTTGACACATCTAGAAAATCTTGGAAGTGTTAGGACATAATTATATTTTAGGTTCCAGTCAATGTATGGAATGGTACATAGTGTTTATAGATTTTAAAGGTAATTAATTATTACATTTTACTTATTATTATTTTAAAATTTGCTACAGGGGACTCGCACTCACCAGAGAGAGAGAGAGAATGGGAAGGTAAACCTCCAGGTTTGTGACCTGCCGTTATCATGTGGAGTCCAGTGCCACTACCACCACACCACCTCCTGGCCCAGTGTTTACAGATATTAAGAGCAAAAATATATAGATTGTTGTTTATAAGATATTGTTTACCTGTAGAATGAATTAGCTAAACATTTCTTTAATTGTGGGTAGAGTTTACTTAGGGTGTTACGGTGAGACACATACAAGGCAAAATGGTTTTCTTTGGGACCAGCAGTTAGCATAATGGCTATGTGGCTGGACTCCCATGTAGATGACCACGGTTCGAGTCCCAGACCCAGTGGCTTAAACTCATGCCGGGTACGTGTGTGTGCGTGCCCAGGATCCCGAGAGGAGAATGGAGGAGAAGGGATTATGGCGTGGCCATACCCCCTGGGGGGTGATTTCTCACTTACTGTCATGCTGTCTTTCTGGCAAGCACACATGCTCTATAGCAAAAAAAAAAAGGTTTTCTTTATGGTTGCCACTTTTTTTTTTTAAGGAATTATTTTATTTAATTTATTCATTTATTTTTTAAAATTTCATTTATTCACTCATTTATTTTAATTTGACCAGAGACACGGACAGAGAGAAAGTGAGAATGCAAGCCTCCAGGTCCAGGACTCAAACCGTGGCCAGCCATGTGGGAGTGTCCAGTGCCTTAACCACCATGCCCCCTGCTGACTCCAATTCATTTATTTTTTAAAAATTTGACCAGATAGAGACAGAGACAAAGAGAGGAAAAGTGAGAAAGTAAGGCACCAGGCCCAGGACTCAAACTGTGGTCAGCCATGTGGGAGTGTCCCGCGCCTTAACCACAACACCACCTGCTGGCCCCACAGCTGCTGAGTTTTAAGAATTTTAGAAAGATCACATTTAAAACCTCGTAATTATTTTTTGCTGTTGGCTACATTTTTTCAGGATTGAAAAATCTTCGAATGTATAAATCTGTAGTTAGTAATAGCTCAGAAAACCTCTGTGATAATGAATTATTTTATAGATTTGATTTCTGATATTCTTCCCCCTCTCCTAGAAAGGTGAGGGTAGCGATATTCCTTTTTTTCTGTTTAAAAGGTCCATGATATGAAACAGTATACCAAGAAAGCAATGGATTACTACTGAGAATTCATTTTGCACCTTCAACTAGGAGAGTCATAGGAACATTTTCAGCATGTTTAATAACCCAGACAGAAATCTGGGTTATTTTTGAGTTATGGGGATAACTTTAAAAATAAAATAATACTATATTTAATTTAATCTAGGCCCAGGATTATGAATGAGACAAGACTGTGTTCATTTGGAATTTAGAAGTTAGACTAATCTTGTGCGTGGAGTTCAGAAGATAAGGTCCAGGTTAGAGTTCTAGTAATAGGCTGGAAAAATAGTGACATAGGAATGTTCTAAAGGAATTCTAAAACAATATTAAGCTACTTTGTGATAGCCATTGATTTTATTTGAGAGTTATATGGGCAAAAGGCAGTGGAGACACTACCATTGGATAGTTTGATAGAATCTCTGACATGGATTTTTGATTCTTCCAGGAGATTTCTCTGGTAGGCATAAGGAGAAAAGACTGGAAAATGTGGTCTTGGGAGACATGGAATAAACACTTCAAACAAACATATATACCTACATTTACAAATACCACCACTTGCTCACTTTGTTCTTTTCTCTGATTTTCTTTTTTTCTTACCTATCCCAGTTGTATGTTAGGAACAGAGTGGGGACTATCTATACAGAATCTGATTTTATTCACTTGTTGTGCAGTTAGTCAGCATTTTTCAAGACTATTTGTTGGAAAACATCAATTCATACTTTTTCAGTGTAGCTAATAGGTTAGTCCGTGCATATCTAGGTTATTGGCGTTTTTGTGTGTTTTCTCTTTACCATTCAATCTGTTGGTGTGTGCAGAAGGCATATTAAGTATGGATTGTCTGCATCATAGGCTCGGATCACTAGAGAACTGTGTTACTGGTTCGGTGGAATGTAATTCGAAGTTCAGGACTACTGGCACAACTTTGTTTAATTATCATTCCATGCCCCAAGTCCCTCTCTCTTCCTATTTTTCCTCACCTAATTTTTATTCCACTTGAATCTTGTCTTGTTATATGCTTGACTAGACTGCTGCTTCTAAGTTTCCTTTTATTTTCTGCATTCTGCTTCAGCTTCTACTTCTCTTTGACAACAGAATCCCGTCTTTGGGCCTAGTTTTCCTGTTTAGATCTACTGGGCCTACTGTCCTGTTCACCTCCTAAGAATATGTTTTCCTTTTTTTGTTTATCCATTTTTATTATTTTGTTTCTAGTGGCAATTTATTTTTACAGTATTTGTTAAAATGTTCTAAACTGGGGCTGACAGGTGGCATGGTGGTTAAGGGCGCTGGACTTGGCCTCCCCCATGGCCCACCATGATTCGAGTCCAGGACCTAGTGACTTGCTTTCTTGCTTTCTCTCTTTCTCCCTTTCCTTCTCTGGTCAAATTTAAATAAATAGATAATTAGATAGATAAATAAAATTTAAAAGTTAAATAAAATAATTATTTTTAAAAATGTTCTAAACAAAGTAACAAATCTAAAAAGTAAATAATTTACCTTTGCCTGGGGATACCAAACTCTCAGGAGGCAAATTCTTTTCTGGAAATTGATTAGTTCAGGTTCACTTCCATAAAAGGAATAGAATCTTTTAAGACAGAGATCCATTCTACCTAGCATTTTCAGAATTTCAAATTCAAACTTTGCCAGATTTATCTTAAAGATGTTCTGAAGACATATAGGTGATGTTCTATAAAGCCAGTCAGAATTGAGTTTTATGAGGTAAGAATAAATAAGAATTGATCATGTTTTAGTTTTTTATTTAAAAAAAAACAAAGGATTGCCTTTCTAATCCTGACAGTGCTTTTAAGTTAGCAGCATCTAAAATAGATAATTGGCCATCAGAGTTTATCATGATGGGAGTAGAATTTATATTTTAATTCAGATGGAAACTAGAATTTGGAAAATTAGAGAATTCTTTAATTAGCTACCTAAGTTGTTGGTAGTCTGAAATTTTATCAATAGCTTATCCTTAAAGAAGGAAGAAGAAAGACTCATGAGCTCTTGTACTATGGTAGTATGCAGTTTTGACATGTGAAGTATCCAGGGAGAAATCCACAAGTGGGAGCTTAGGACACTCAGAACTCAGAAATACCTTTTGTGAAGAGCACAAAGAAGTTTCTTGCAAAATGAAGGATTCTCAGTGGTGAGTTCAAACTGTACAAATAGAATTGCTAGTTAAGTAGCATAAAGACCATTTTTTGGATTTAAAAAAAATGTTTTTATGAGGTCTGTTATTTGGTACAGTCTTCTGAACTAGGATTTTCTTTTCCCATAAAGAGCTCTTGATTTCCAGAGCTCTGGAGTGTGTGTGTGTGTGTGTGTGTGTGTTTGTATCTGAGCATTTATTTTTGGCATTAATGTTTCATTCTTTAAAGGAAATGAGGGGTCAGCCGGGACATGGTGGATGGTGGTTAGGGGCCTGACTGCAGTTCAAATCCTAGATCTGGAGGCTTGCTTTCTCACTTTCCCTATCTCTCTCTCTTACTCTGGTCAAATTAAAAATATATACATACATAAGGTTCAATAAAATAATTTTTTAAAATAAAAATAAAAACAAAATGAAACACAGGGGCAAGCAGGTGGCATTGTGGTTAAGGAAGCTGGACTCCTACATGGCCAACTACTGTTCAAGTCCTGGACATTCCCCACCACCACCCTGTCCCTCTCTGGTCAGAATTAAAATAAATACATAAATAAAGCTAAATAAAATAATTATTTTTTTAAAAAAGGAAATGGGGACCAGCAGTTAACATAATGGCTATGTCACTGGACTCCATGTAGTCGACTGTGGTTCAAGTCCCAGACTGGTGGCTTAAACTCATGCCAGGCGCATGTGCGTGCGTGCCCAAGATCCTGAGAGGAGAATGGAGGAGAAGGGATCGCAACATGGCCATCCCCCCGGGGGGTGATTTCTCACTTTCTGTCTCACTGTCTCTCTCTCTCTTTCTGGCGAGCGCATGCGCCCTATAGCAAAAACCTCTCTTAAAAAAAAAAAAAAGGAAATGAAACACCATAGCAAGAGAGAATGGGAAATCTGTAACATAAACATTGAATGAGTTTACAATCTAATTACTTATAAAAGTAGATATTCGAAATATGTAACTGCACAGCAGTTACATATTTGGACACCCACATGGCCAACCACAGTTCCCCAGACCAGTGGCTTGAAACTCATGCTGGGCCAATGTGCCTGCATGCCCTAGGTCCTGGGAGGGGAATGAAGAAAAGATTGTGGATGGTCATTCCCCCTGGGGGGTGATTTCTCATTTTCCCCTCTCTGTCTGTTTCTGTCTCCCTCCCCACCCCCTCAAATGCACATGCCCTAAGGCAAAAACCTCTTAAACAAACAAACAAAAAAGAAAAGTAGATGTTTGAGTCCCATCTTTCAACATACCACTTGAATAGCACATAAATGGGGTTTTCCCTAGATTAGTTTAATAAGATAAATTGAAAGGAATTTGTGAACCACATAATTTAGTGCAAAAAACTTTTTAGGAATAAACTAGGATAGCTTTATTTATGTTCAAGAGTCATAATCTAAAAAATATTGATAAATTCAGTATGCAATATTTATATTTTTCCTTTTTACATACTATCGGTCTTTTTCTTCCTCAACTCTGCTTTTTATTCTTTTCTACTTTGCTGTATAAGAGAACACTAAGAGGGACCAGCAGGTGGTGTGGTGGTTAAGGGTGCCGGACTTCCACATCACTGACTGCAGTTTGAGTCTCAGGCCTGGCAGCTTGCTTTCTTTCTCTCTCTCTCCTCCTCTCTGGAAAAATTAAAATAAATAAATTAAACCTAAATACAATAATTCTTGGTTTTATTTATTTATTTATTTTTTTGTGAGAGGTTTTTGTTATAGGGTGTGTGCGCTCACCAGAAGGACAGAGAGATAGAAAGCGAGAAATCAACCCCCAGGGGGGATGGCCATGCTGCAATCCCTTCTCCATTCTCCTCTCGGGATCTTGGGCATGCACGCACACGCACCCAACATGAATTTAAGCCACCGTGCCCAGGACTCGAACCATGGCCGACTACATGGAGTTCAGTGACATAGCCATTTTGCTAACTGCTGGTGCCAATAAAATAATTCTGTAAAAGAGAGAGAGAAAGAGAGAGAGAGAACATTTAGAATGTCTGGGTTCAGATAGGTGAATTTCTTTCTTTTTTTTTTTTTTTTTTTGAGAGGATTTTTCACTACAGGACGCGTGCGCTCACTGGACAGACAGAGACAGACAGAGAGACAGAAAGCGAGAAATCACCCCCCAGGGGGGATGGTCACGTTGCAATCCCTTCTCCTCCATTCTCCTCTCGGGATCTTGGGCACGCACGCACACACGCCCGGCATGAGTTCTAAGCCACCGGGTCCAGGACGCGAACCGTGGTTGACTACATGGGAGTCCAGTGACATAGCCATTACGCTAACTGCTGGTTCCCTAGATAATGTGAATTTCTAACAAACTTCAGGTGATTCAGATTTGTTTTTCTTTTTTTTTTTTTTTTGGAGAGGTTTTTTTTTTTTTCTTATTGGGCGCATGCGCTCACCAGAAGGACAGAGAGAGAGAAAACGAGACACACACCCCCCCCGAGGGGATGGCCACACCGCAATCCCTTCTCCTCCATTCTCCTCTCGAGATCTTGGGCATGCATGCACATGCGCCCAGCATCAGTTTGAGCCACCGGGTCTGGGACTCGAACCACGGTCAACTACATGGGAGTCCAGCGACATAGCCATTATGCTAACTGCTGGTCCCAGGTGATTCAGATTGTAACCAGTGTTTGAGAGGCACTGGTATTTGGGATACTAAAGTAGTATCATTATTAGAGATACTCTGTAGAAAAGAAAAAAGATGGGAAAATGCTTGATAAATTTAAGGAATGAGAAGAGAACCAAGTCAAACTTTTCAAGCTTGGCTCTCTTTTTTTTTTATTTGGAGAGAGATTTTTGCTATAGGGTGTGTGCACTCACCAGAGACACAGAAAGTGAGAAATCCATCCCAGGGGGATGGCCATGCTGCAATACCTTCTCTAGTCTCCTCTTGGGATTTTGGGCATGCACACACACATGCCTAATGTGAGTGTGAAGTGAAGCCACTGGTTCTGGAACTCAAATTGTGATCAACTACATAGGAATCCAGTGACGTAACTTTTACACCATCTGCTGGTCCCCAAGCCTGGCTTTTCTATAAAGATTATCACAAAGAAGGGCCAGCTGGTGGTGCGGTGGTTAAGGCACTGGACTCTTACATGGCCTGTTACAGTTTGAGTCCTAAACCTGGTGGTCTCTTTCTCTCTTTTCTCTCTCTCATCTGTCTGTGGTGATCACAAATTCCCTATAGTAAATAACAATAATAATAAATTTTAAAAAATAATTTAAGTAAATAAAAGATTATCACAAAGGGAAAGGAAACAAAAGAACATTACATTTCCTTTTGGTTTGTGTTACAATTCTTGTTTGTTCCACACTTCTTTTCTGCATGTGGCATAGTGCTTATTTTCATGTTGGTTATTAGAAAGATCTGGGTATCTGGGTCAGTGAGCTACGATGAAAGGTTAAGAATGCTGAATCATCTATGGAAGACTTAACTTGCATATTTAACGCTTAAAGTTTAGCCAGTTTGTCTCTATGACAGTTACATTGAGAAATAAAAATTTAGTTGATTATTCTTTCAACATTATATATGTTATCTGATATTCTAAATACTGAACTTGTTTTATAAGAACTAAACTTTTGTACTTTTTGAAAATGGTTGATAGATTAAAAAAAAGTCATATACTTTCCGATCTTTGGTTTATGTCTGTTGGTATAATGTAAAATTAGTAAACCTGCTCTTCTTCTTTTATGCAGGACCAGTGGCTGTAGGACAATTTCACCGATCATTCCGGCGAGATAGTTTGTCTCCTTACTCCTATGTATCAACTTCATCCCACAACCACAGTACTTTCCCTCTGAAAGGTTTAGATCGGACCCCGATTCCTCCTAGAACATGGCAGAACTCCCTTGGAATGCATCCTGGACAAGTGGAGACGTCTCCCACTTTTTCAGATAAAGGGGTTCCATTTCCTGTACTGCAGAGGTTTCCAACAGAGGTTACCTATACGCTGCAGCCTAGTGCCACATCTGTACATGTTCAACAAGGTCCTCAAACAATGGTCAGCTCCTCCCAAAAATACAGTAACTACACACCCTCAGCGCAGTACTCCCAAGCCTACTATCCAACAGGTATGAGAAATTCAAGTTCACTGGTTTCTATTAAGGTAGTTTATAGTGGACATTTATATTTTAAAATGTATTTTAAGCTCTATATGCTTAAGCGCAAATAGTAGGAAAGTGTACCTAAGAAGTGTCAAATGATTCCTTAGGATATATATTTTTTAAATATGTAAAATTTTATTGTGTTTCTAAGTATTATTTTAAAAGAATCACTTGATGCATAAAAGTATATGTTTTCAGTGAAACTTTTGTGCAGGTGTCCTCAGAATGTGTCCTAGATATGAAATTAAGATTAGTGCCTCAGAGGCCCAGCCTAGGGGCTTTCTGGACTATAGTACTGGAAACCATGTGGCTGACTGTAGGTTCAGTCCCCTGGTTCAACCTGAAAATAGCCTGAGGAACTGGAGGACTTGGGTGAGGGGATCATGGCATGCACAGACTGTGTTGGTAGGAGGTGCTTCTCTCGTGTGTGTGCACAGGCTCTCTCTCTCAAAAAACCTTAGTATCCTAGGACCTTACTTTAACTCTGACCTTGGTGCTGTGGATTTTTAGTTTAGCTTTTTTTTTTTTTTAATCTGTGTATAATTTTATCAGTGGTGTTAGCTCATAATGAAGCCATTTTAATATCTTAGTAGTGAAATTTAATTTTAAAAAGCATATTTTCTGAAAATAAAATTCTTTGGTAGAAACATGGTGAACAGTGAACTCCCAGAAATGTTAATTTCAGCCAACTAAGAACTGGGAGTAGCAGAGGGAAGGAGAAATTGACAGTGACAACTGACCTGGCGCACAGTCAAGGGCATCAAGGCGTGTTGGTAGATCCCAAACCACTAATTGGAAATCCTTAATGATAATGAGCACCTCTTTATTTCCCAGGGAAAAAAAGTTGTTGCCTTCCCATCCCCCCAGTACTTTTTTGCAAGATAATCTTACCATTTCATTCAAATGTATTTTCTATTTTTCAGAAACACTGTAGCAGTGGTGTGTGTTTCATAATGGAGTATACTTTACACAGAGTGGTGAAACGGGGCAGTAGAAAGAAGAGGAGGGTCAAAGACCAGAGAGGAGGGAGGGCATTCCTTTGTTCTGTGCGTTGAGGATCTAGGAGCATTAACTTTTTCTGAGTTATGTAGAGCTAGAAGCAAAACTGTCGAAGTATTTGTTAGGCCTCTATCCTAGTCAGGACTAAAACCTAAAAGTAGAAGAAATGGAAGGAATGTAAATTAGAAAAGGGCATTAAATAATTTGCCTTTTTTTTTCCTAGAGAGGTTTTTGCTATAGGGCATGTGTGCTTGCTTGCCAGAATGACAGAGACAGAGAGAAAGAAAGTGAGAAAGCACCCCCCCCCGGGGGGGGGAGGGGTGGTGGCCACGCTGCAATACCTTCTCCTCCATTCTTCTTTCAGGATCTCAAGCACGCAAGCGCATGTGCCCAGCATGAGTTTTAAGCCACTGGGTCAAGAATTTGAACCACAGTTGACTACATTGGAGTCCAGCAACATAGCCATTACACCATCTGCTGGTTCCAATAATTTGCTATTTTAAAGTTATTAATCTGGTGACTTATTTGTAATAATACTACTTTCTAGCTGTTAACATACACTCTTTTTTACCATGACTTACTGCATTCTACCTAATTATACAGTATAAGGGATTGATTTATTTTTCCCCCAATCAATTAAGTTTAGTAATAGTAAATAATAAGACCAGAGTTTAAGTTAGATTGTGTTTTATAGATTTTAGAACTTCTGCTTATTTTGTAGATGGAGTAAATAAGGAAAAGGAAGAAGGTATTTTAGAGTAAGGATGACTTAGCATTTTTAATCACTTTGCCTATTAGGAAAAAAAGGGGACAGGTGGTGGTGCAGTGGTAATGCAGCTGGTCCTCACATGGTCCGGGTTCAGGTGCTGCCACGTCCCTGAGCGTGTTAGGTACATGTGGGCCTGTTACCAGTGCCACCTGAGTGGCACAAAGATCCGGTTGGGATGGGACCAGCAGTTAGTGTAATGGCTATGTTGCTGGACTCCCATGTTGTCGACCGCGGTTTGAGTCCTGGACCCGGAGGCTTAAACTCATTGCTGGCGCATGTGCGTGCGTGCCCAAGATCCTGAGAGGAGAATGGAGGAGAAGGGATTGCGGCGTGACCATCCCCCCCTGGGGGGTGATTTCTCGCTTTCTATCTCTCTGTCTCTCTCTGTCTGTCTGGCGAGCGCACGCGCCCTATAGCGAAAAACCTCTCCAGATAAATAAATAAAGATCCGGTTGGGAATGCCTATCTCTCCTCTCTTTATAAACTTTTTAGGAAGAATTAAAAAAAGAAATAATAAAATTTTTTACTATTTTATGTAGAAGATGATTGCAACCTAGTATTTTCTTAGTTTGCAACTACTTTGAGGAACAAAATGAGCAATCTTTAAAAATAGAAGATGGGGGGGCAGCAGATGGTGTAGTGGTTATGTAGCTATACTCCTACATGACCGACTGTGGTTCGAATCCTGCCAGGCGTGTGTGTGTGTGCATGCCTAAGATCCCAGGATAAAAGTGGAGGAGAAGGGATTGCAGCATTGCCATCTTTCTAGGGGCGTGATTTCTCACTTTCCCTCTCACTGTCTCTGTCTTTCTCTCCAGTGTACACATGCATTCAAAGACAAAAACCTCTTAAAAAAAAAAAAGTAGAACAGGGGAGCCAGGCTGTGGTATGGTGGCTAAGGTGGCTGGATCCCACAGCTGTGTAGTTCAAGTCTCAGACTGAGTGGCTTGAATAACATGCCATGCATGTGTGCCCAAAATTCCAAAAGGAGGGGAGAAACAGAAAAAAAGGGATTATGGTGTGACCATTCCCTATGGGAGAGGACTGTTTTCTCACTTTCCATGTGTCTCTGGTGAGCACACATGCCCTCTGACAAAAATTTTAAAAATATAGAAGATGACTTATAGTCTATGTTTAGCAATGAATAGGTTCTTTTTTTTTTTTTTTTAGAAGTTTTTGCATTAAGGTGCACGGGCTTGCTGGAGAGAGACAGACAGAGACAGTGAGATGGAAAGTGAGAAATCACCCCTGCAGGGGGATGGCCATGCCTCGATGTCTTCTCCTCCGTTCTCTTGAGATCTTGGGCACATACGCACATGTGCCTGGCTTGAGTTTCAAGTGACCGGGTTCAGGACTTGAACTGTGATTGGCCATATGGAGTTCAGCTACGTAACTGATATACCATCTCCTGGTCCCTAGGGCCATATACTTTTTCAAGAATTATTTATTTAATTTTATTCATTATTATCATAATTTTTAATTTGCTATAGGGCATGCATACTCACCAGATAGAGAGGGAAAGTGAGAAAGCAAGCCACCAGGTCCAGGACTTGAATCACGGTTGGCCATGTGGGAGTCCAGTGCCTCAATCACCATGCCATCTGTTGGCCCTAGAGTTGTATTTTTATTACTGGGGTGTATAATTCAATATTGTAATAAACAAATTAGGCATTGCTAACTAAATTGTTATTTTGACTTCATTCCATATATGCATAGAATGTGTTTAAAGAGGGACCAGCATTTGGCATAATGGCTATGTCGCTGGACTCCCATGTAGTTGACTGCGATTCGAGTCCCAGATCCAGTGACTTAAACTGGGTGCGTGTGCGTGTATACCTAAGATCCTGAGAGGAGAATGGAGGAGAAGGGATTGTGGCATGGCCATCCCCCCTGGGGGGTGATTTCTTGCTTTCTGTCTCTCTGTCTTTTTGGCGAGTGCACGCGCCCTATAGGAAAAACCTCTCAAAAAGAGAAAAAGAATATGTTTAGAGAAAGGCAGTCTCTTTTCTTTTTTGTACTTGCTTTGGACTTTGTAACCAAACTGGACAATTCTCCTATATCCCTTCTTTTTACTAATACATGTTTCCCTTTCCTTTCCTTTTCTCAAACTAGTGAAGACTCAAAAGCCTCTGGGGAGATGAAATTTAGAAGGGTTGCAGCAGGGAGATATAGAAATGTGCTTTGACTTCCCAATTTGGATTTTTTAAAAAAAAAATTTTTTTTTAAGGCCATAGGGTACATGTACTTGCCTAAGACAGACAAAGACAGTGAGAGGGAAAATTGAGAACTCAATGTCTGGAGGGGATGTCCATGCTGCATGCTCCATGCTCCTCTCATTATTTCGGGCAGGCACTCACACACACCCCACGTGATTTTCAAGCTGCCATATCCAGGACTTTAACTGCCTTTGGCCATGCGGGAGTCCAATGCCTAAACCACTATAACATCTGCTGGCCCCCCAATTTGGAATTTTGAAAGCATTTTTCTGTCGAAATATTAGATATGGTGATTGGGTTCTATATTCTATATTAGATTATACTTAATGTGCAGATGGTTATAGTATGGTTTAGAAGCTAAAGTCATCTGTATGATGTTTCTATGAGAAAATGTATTCCAGGTACCAAATAATCTTAGAAACTCCTGGTTCTGAATTTTATTAGAAACATGTATTATTCACCGGAAAGTAGTATTAGTAGCTAATATAATTTATTCATTATAGAAATGCTGTTTCTCAAATTATTATGATTTATGATATGTTATTTATTTATCAGAGGGCCAGCCACCTCAACCACCGTGCTACCAGCTACATTAATCCACGTGCCATGGCTGTCCCAGTCTGTCTTCTTTAAAAGAGAGAGTTGAAATGACTATAAAGTTCTGAGATTATGGGAATAATGAATATTGAATAATTAATCTCATGATTTCATGGTAACTTCTAACATATAGAGTAGTTTTAAGATCTAAGATAGACTAAACTACTTTGAACACTCTGAAGTACTACGTAAATAAAAAGTCATATTGTTAAAAATAGAAGACTTACTATGGAAAGGAAAGTGATGCAAAAAAGCTGTACAATACTTAGTTCTTCTCCATTGTAGGTGAAAGAAACAAATAGGTAGTGGGCAGTTTAACCAGTATTTATTGAGTGCTTATTTATAAGAGCATTACAAGTGGCTTTTCCAAAGTTAAATGTTGTTGT